GCGGGCACGGCCCGGGTGTCGCATCAGCCCGGCTCTGAGCCACGTCACGGCGCCCCTGCCCCAATACCCAGCGCGGCTCGGGCTGTCCGAGCAGTGCCCCCAGGAGTGACTCTGACGTCATTTCGTCAATGAAGCTCCAGTTTCATGCCCATACCCCAGAACTGTACTGTGAAGGAAAAGCCTGGGCAGCCCTAGCATGGCAAGTTCTTACGGCGTGTCAAAATATCGCATCAAGTACAGGGATTAGTTTCATGATATAAGCAGAGCAAGTTAATTGAGCAAGAATGTGCTAAAGCACTCTGGTAAAGTCTGCGGTACCCACAAAAAGAAGCTGAGCAAAGGTAAGGAGCCTCACACTAAGCTTTTCCCACGTTTTCATCGAAGTATTTGCTGCATTTGTAACTATAAAAGCAGTAACAGAACACCAAACTTAGAGCTAATTCCACGGAACAGCCCAACCACTGGGGGCTGTTTGTGGCCCCTCTCCAACCAGAGTTATTCTGCAAAGGGTCAGACAGCCCCAATCCTGCTACTTCACTCACTGTCAGTTTGTTTCCTACCACGTATCTACTACTGCATCAAATCTTCTCAAACATTTTAGAAATACTCTCCTTGGGAAGCCAACCTTGCCTGCTAAAGATCAGTCCAGATCCCCTTTTCTGACCTAACAATCCTTCCCAATCATGCCACACAACTTCTGTTCCTTGGGATTTTGGCAAGAATCACAGATATTAACCATTTTCTTCCCAAAAGTCCTTCCCTAGACTCTGGCGCAATACAATGAGGACAGAGAATGCAAAAAAGCACAGTAAAGTTCAGCAAAAAAGGATTCCACCAAGTATATAAAATCCAAATTCCCTCAGTCAGTCTGAAAGCTTCCCTTGGGTTTCAGTTAAAAAACACTCCTGATTTTCTACCATCCCACACTAATCCACAGAATACGCTAATCCTGGTATATTGCTGTATTATGATTACATTCAGCTGATGGATGGAAACTTGATGATATATCAGAGAACTGAAACACGTGTTTTAACTAACCTGTGCTGTTAGGTAGAAGTTCAGTCCCTCCCTTTTTATTTTTTTAAATAAGAAAATAATACCAATATCAGTATTCAAGAAAAAATTTAATCAGTACCTCAAGTTTTACGCATTTTCTCGTCTAGGGACTGTGCTTGAACAATTGCAGTCATTCAAATGGAACTATCTTTTTGCATTTGAAGCATTTTTATTTGTAAAACCAAAATAAAGACACCCTCTGATAGCCTAAATTATCTGTGTCATTTGCTCAAGTCATACAGTTTAGTGACTATTGTGAAATTTAGGAAATTTCAGTAGCTCAAGCATTAAAACCTGCAGATAAGAAAGATCCAGAGGTGCCCAGCATTGACATCACACCTCTGTTACTAGTTAAACCAGTTATACCAGTACATTGGTTTCAAGGAGAGATTACCCAGCTGCTTAAACTCTGTGTTCAGTGCGGCCACAGAACCCAAGAGACAGATTTATCACCCCAACCTTCTTCAAATCAGTCTGCAGAAGAACCAGTCCTGATACACAAGGCTGAGGGGAAAATGTGTCTTACCACCTGTGGACACACACAATTACCAGTGCATCAAAAATCACTGTGGCGGTTTCTAAGTGTGTTGGATTATCCTAGAATAATTCATTTTCACTGCAAACAGATCAGATTTGTAAGAAACTGTATTTGCTTTGTATTGACCTCACTAGCAAATTTCACCAAAACCACTAAGTCAAAACAACCTTAATATCTCAGATGCAGTCTAGTTCCACACAAAGAAGAGGTTGTGAACCTGTGCAAAAGTGGGCAATTTTTTAAGTCTTACTAGACAAACAGAATATTTGAAATTTATCACTCAGAAAACCGAACAAAGCTTTGAACGTGAGCATGTTCATGTTGTGCTTGCACCCAGAGACCCACTCAGAACTGGCATCTGTGAACAGCTCACGTAGTATTCAAGCAGAAAGTAGCTGATATACCAAACAGTATCACTAAGACTAAAGTAAGATTAAACTAAAACCTTATATAAATGTCAAAGGTCTGTTACAAACTTCTAGGTCCGCTACAGGTATATAGGCAATTCCAAAGAATAACAAAGGTAACTCAGTATGTACAGACCTCAAAACCAGAGTCAATTGCCTAATACGTAAGTTAAGCAATATTTCAACCACCTGTCTTTTCTGATCTCCTTCACACTCCTGTCCCAGCCACAGCTGCTCCTTTTAGTCTTCTCACCTTCCCAAAGTTGTGCAAGTCTTGAGCAGCCTCTCCACCAGCCCTCCTTTTCCAATCAGTGCTCATTTAGGTATTTGTGCTGTAGCCTAATATACGGGCAGAAACAGACAACGGAATTGCAGGACTCATATTTCTTCCTGATGCTATTTGTGCATTAAAAAGAAAAAACAAAAACAAAAATCCAAACAAAATCCTAAAACACAGTATATATTTACTTCAATGAACTTTAATACCCTCCTGCAATCAGTATAATTAACTGAGTTTTGTAACTTTATTTCCTGAGAGCCTTCTTTTCCCATTGAAGCAATTGCAAGATTGAAAGGATTAAAGTTCTTGTTGAGATTTAAGAGATACAATGCTGACATTTAGCAACTGCTAGGCTAAGTCAAACTACTATAAAGACAAGTCAGTTCAGTTATGAATAACCCAACTTCCTACTAAAAGGATTGTTTTCAAAATAGTATGACCTGAAATTGAAATTAAACTCATCTAAGATTTAACCATTCCAACAAATGATGGTATTGTCTCCTCACTTGCTCTGAGCCAGAAAACAGGAAAAAAGCCCTGGAAAAGAAAAAAAAAATGCTACTTGAGTGGATACTCCACAAAAAAAGCTTGGGGTTTATTTATTTAAAAGACCCTTCCTCTAATTAAAATTTTGCACTGATGCAAGAAGCTGATGGTCCATTAATTAAAACTCACAACAGTAAGTTAACTCCTTCCAGGGATACACACTGTAAGCAGAACTGTACACTTGATCCCCCCTCTTTTTCTTCTCTGTATTTTATATTTCAGGATAGTTTGCTATTTCCATTTCAACAACAGATGCCATTTTAAAATACATGTAATTGTCTCCAATGCTGTGGTACACAGGAAACTGTCTCAGGAACGTGGTCTGGTTTAAAACCATTAAACCTAGTTTCAAGTTTCTCATTTGCCCTTTACTCTTTCTTCTACATCTGTACTTGAAAATGAAAACAATTTAGTATAAATTATTCTAATCACCATCTCCCAATACCTGAGTAAAATCACTTAAATTCTTGCTCTTATTTATCAAGAACAGGCATTCAGAGATTACTTTCAAATAAAAAATTCCAGCATAATATCGGTCTTTTCAGCCACTCTACCTCAAAAAATTGGGCTCATTTCAGTTTTTCTTGTTGTCACAGTTTTGTTGTGGTGAATAGACTTCTAAGAACTCAAGGCCAGCAAATGCAATTGAAGTAGAAATACTGAAAGCTTTGCTAACACAAAATGGGTGTTGAAGACCTCTGCAGACATGGTCAGTCTGAAACTACTCAATCAATTAAGCAAAGGCACATGCTCTACTTCTATTTCTGAGTACTGTTAAAATAAGAAAGCTATTTAAATGATTGAGACAAGCTTAGTTATTTAATCCACTGATGAATTCGTCAGAAGTTCAACATGTTATACATACATACTACAAGGAAAAAGTTTCAATTATCTTTTCTTCATTTTTAACAAGCCAAAAAGTGTGTTTCAAGACAGAATCAAACATCAATATGAAGAAAATACTAAATACTCTGAAAGAGTCTTAATATTTTTATGGCTTTTGATAAACCAGAGCCCTCAAATTTTGTGGACAGATGCAAAATTTACCACCTGAATGGCAGCATAAAGAGTTTGTCCAACTCCAAAACCTTAGCTGAGACAATTAAGCAAGAAATTTTTCTTTGCCACCCCCATTACCTTCAACTTGTCCTGACCCAATGCTTTCCTACTGCACTAAAGGCAAGATAGGTATTTTGACATTCAAATAGAAACACCAAAGAACAGAAATAAGCTGAGATGCATATGGTAGTTGATAGGTTATTGACAGGCAGCCAACAGGCTACAACAGAAAATGACTAAGTTAGTTCACCACAGAAGGGTGTAACAACTAGTAGGTGCCTGACTGCAGCATATCCTTTATTCTAATGTTCTTTTAATAACCAAAGGAGAACTGGTTAGAAGTACTGATGAAGCCTCACTGCCCTTCCTTTGCAAACTCTCTCCTCCCTTCCTCACAAGTCCCTTTTTGCTAAGGTCTAAGGTCTTTAGGACAGGGCCCTATTTCTTATTGAAAAAGCAACTTAAAATTTCTAACCATCCAATTGTGTCAACTAGATCTTCTGCAATTCTCCCTCCTTTCAGAGGGAAACTGTTCTATTACTCTTTTATGGCTCTCAGTGTGCAGTTTTGGAGCACATCTTACAAAACTCAGTCTTCCCTCTGCACATCTGTTGAAGAGGCCTCTTGTCAAGCCAATACTCTAATGGAGACTGGATGTTAATCTCTACATTTCATCAACAGTTTGTCTCCTTAACAAGAACAGGCTGCAATCCCTGCTTTTTTCTCCTTGTTTGATTTGTTATAAATGCCTCAATTCTCCTTATCTCAAGACCTGCCAGGTGGGTGGGTAGAATCACTAATGTACAGCCTTAGGTGAGTCAAAAATAAATACTACAAATTTGAGCAGTCATTTCTCCATCCCTTCACCAGTCAGTAGCAGCAGTAACTGGTACAGACCCATCAGTGTTCCACTACAAAACAGATTCTCAACAAACCCTAAATTGTATCAATAAACCACAGTCGCTTTGTCAATGAAAGTGCATCAGAGCTCCTGTTTCTCTCCACTAACCACAGTGGAGTCAGATGCAACAGGAACTTTATTACTTCCAGCAAAAACAGTTTCAAAAGCAGCTTCCTGCTCCTCTAAAGTTGCAGCAGCAGCAGCTTTTCTCACAGATGTGGTGGGAACGGTTGGCTGTTGCTTCGGAATATTTTCCAGGTTCACTGTTCTCCTCCCTCTTCTTTTGCCCAAGATTTTGATGTAATTAGCTGGCACAAGTCCTGTTGTTTGGCCATCATAACTAGCTAACAGCCAACCACGGATTTTGGGTTGTTGTTCTGAAGAGGAAAGAGCAAACGCATCAAGTTACAAAACAATTCAACAAAATCAAACAAAACTACTCAATTTGTATTACAATGCAAGTAATAACTTAATGGGGAAAAAAATCAGCGTGGATGAGGAGTTTAGTCAAATAAGGTGGATTTGGTTTTTTCCCTTTTAATTTTCAGACTCTAACACTATAATTTACTTCACATGTAATTAGAAAACAAACACAATCCAAAATTTACCTTTGGGGGCTAATCTCAGCATGTCACCAGCACGAAAAGAAATCTCTTCTTCTGAGAGAGCACTGAAGTCATATTCTGCTCTTCCAACCACATGGTCATCTTGTCCACTCATCCAGTTACTAGCCACTGTTTTCAAACATAAATTAGAAGTTTATCTGCTTGGAAGGATAAAGTTTGGTGCAGTTTTTTTAAAGGCAAATCAATAAAACACTTGAACTTCCTTGCTACAACTTCTGCAATAGAGAACTGAGAGAAGGAACAAGCAAAGCATGCTTTGTTGAGTCAATCCAAACAATACTTGTCCCACCCACCCCAAACTGCCACATCTGATAGAAAGGAATGAGAAAGAGAAAGGAACCATGATTTTGGAATCACACAAAGCTTAATCATAGAATCATCAAGGTTGGAGGAGACCTCTAAGGTCATCAAGTCCAACTGTACATTACACTCCACTGTAACCCCGAAACCATATCTTCTAGCACCAGATCCAGGCAGCTCTTAAAACACTTCCAGGGATGGGGACTTCTCCACTTCCCTGGGCAATCTATTCCAATGCTTAACCATGAAAACACATCGTCACTCAGCAACAGGCAACTTAAGCAACGTGTTGCTTGTACCACACACCTAAAATTGATCATAGTACTGTATTACTGTAGTGTGAGTGACAGACAATAATGAAATAAACACTATATGCTGCACTTTCCTTGTGCTGCAGATCATCTTTACCTGTTTCTTCATCACTGTATGTAGAAAGAAGCTTCCAAATCAGGTAGGGACCTCCCATGACCACAGCAAAGAACAAGAAAATGGGCCAGGATTTGGCAGTGCTAGCCATCTTGTCTTCAACGCCAACATGAGCTACTGTCCCCTCACTCTCAGCCCACAAATCCTCATTCTCAGAGCTCTTGCGCAGCCCCAGCAACCGCTGCAGGCGCTGGTAGAGGTACCTGATAGTTCTTACTAGAGCAAAAGCTGAAAACACCTTTGTGAAGTGAACTTTGAGGCGGGAGAAGTGGTTGGCCACATCCAACACAGCTCTGAAACTGTTGTAGACAGCTGAAAAGGTTGCATCCATCATCATGCTGACCGAGGCAAAGGCATGCACAATGCTCTCAATGGACTGGAAGGCACCTCTGCTGCTCTCCTCAGCCTGCTGGACAAACCTGCTGGGAGGAATATCATCTGTGCGGAAGCGGTTGTAGCCCAAACCACCATATCCGTAACTGTACGGGCTATAGCTTCCATAAAAAGAGGTTCCGTATGAACCATAGCCTGGAGAAAAAGAGCTGCTATATGCTGGCCTGAAAGCGCTCAGACTGCTGCTTGCTGTTTGCTGGGATGGTCTTGGCAAGATAGGTGGAGGTATCCGTGCCACTGTGGGTTGTCCAGGTCTGGTCAGCAGGTTGTCACCCAAGTCAGGAGACCTAAACGAGTTCAGACAAGCAACATCAGTACTCAAAAGTGTAGATTTTAACTTCCTGCAGAGACCTTGGCTAGCTACATAAACACCACAGTGCTAGGATAGGGAACATGGTAGCCAAACACTCAGTGTGTTGTACAAGGTTTATTAGAAGTAAAAAAATATAGTCGAGGCAAAAAATACCATAATGTGGAACAAAATACCATTCAGTGAAAATATGGAACCAGAACACATGGAAAAACTTCCAGTCTATTGTACAAAGAAGGCATGAAATGCACTCCCCAGAGCCATCAAACCTGCTGCTGTAACACCCAGGTCATTCTTCTGCACACAAAAGCCTCTCACATGCCCTACCAAGAATATTGAGGAACTTTCCAACCTGAAAGCTTTGTTCTCAGCTGTTCTGTACAGCAAGAAGGAAGTTTGAGAGCTCCTTTGAATCCACCCTTAAAGGGTGGTGTGACCTAATTGAGTATCCAAGTAATTATGCAACATCATGTGCAGAGGCTTTAGGTCCAATTTTCCCCTCTACCCAAACTATCTCATGAGCTTTGCGCAGATTGTCAAGGGATTGAATCTATAACTCTTAGCAGAAGGAGCTATTATAAGTTAATTACTCATTTGTAATTTTGTAAATTTTTTCCCTTTATATGCCCACAAGTTTAAGTCATTTTACTTATTCCCTTCATAATAAAACTCTGCAAGTACTTGGCTAGCATTTGAATTCCCTCAAACAGCTTTTTTTCCAACTTTCGCTGTTCTACTAAAAACAATCACATACTATCACCCTAAAAGTCTAAGATTTTGGGTATTTGCCATGTGTACTGCCCCATCCCATGACTTCCCACTTCTGTAGCTCATTAAATTAACAGAAAGAAAACACCAGAAGAAAAGTCAAGTTGGAATTGCCATGGAGCTGCTGCTTTCCACTTCTGTAGGCCCCTAAATTCACAGGGGGAAAAAGAAAAACAACCCAGAAGCTGGAATTACTATGGAGCTGTTGCTTCCTTGCTGTACAATTTCCGTATAAGGTAAGCAACAGCTTCCTCATAGCAAAACTTACAGGTTTCCACAGCAAAGAATAATATTTATTTATTTTTTTTAGAAATAAATTGCTCACTTTTTCCATTACAGACTTTAACTCTCTTAGCAGTTCAAACCAGAAGCAAAACCAAGCTATTATCACAGCAAAAAGAGATATTGTAACTTAGCAAGTTACACTGTACACCAGTAGTCAGCCTGGGACGCCTCACTTGAAAGCTGCTAGAAGCCATTTAAAATGCGGCTGATAACCACAGCAAGAAAAATTAACAACAAACTTTGTGCTCAGCAAGCTGCAGAGAATGTGGCAAAGTTTCTGTTTAATGTTCAGTGTTGAGTTAACCTTTTGCCCAGTTTCAGCTCTCCCTACTTGGCAATCACCAACACTAAACGATAAAACAAGTCAGACCTTCAGCCACCACATAAGCTTTCCCTGACTTCCAGCAACAAAGTGTTTACAAACACTTTCTGTACATCCCTCTCCATCAGCAGGTCGGATTTTCTGGGAAGGCTCTCGGGGGCTGACACACACACACACACATTTGCCAAGCCCTGGGGGTGACACGCAGCTTCCCCAGGGCTGCAGAGGCACCGAGGCTCACACGGTCCCCGGGGATGGACACTGCGG